CATTTTCAACAGTCTAGATTAAACAACACTCTTACAAAAAACCTGTCAGTGTAACTAAAGAGGGTAGACAGATGTCATCCCTAATCTAATCTTACACACTCGTCGCTGTGTCGTTATGACGTCAGACCTCTGCGTTACACGACAATGATATTTGAATTTTTCTTAAGGCAGCTACCACACATGAAATCAGCTTGAGTCGGTCAGAAAAAGCATTTATATTCATGCAATAGAAGCGAAAAGGACGTAGCATGTTTCGTTTCTGCTTCGATCACCAACGCCAAACGACGAGACAAAGTGTTTTCTAATGCGATTATATGCCGATAAATGTGGTGACAATCTTAAAATTTATCTCTTTAAAGCGTGAAACGCACTGACAGCGGATGCGGGTCGGGCGCGTGTCGGATCGGGTGTAATTCCGTGTAACAACAAACCACGAGCGGGTGCAGGACACGACCAGTGTCCGTCCCGCGCCCGCGGGATAATAAAATTTCGGTTGATATTCAAATTAAATTGATTGTCATTTTACGAAGTTTAAAACGTTGTTTTATACAGCTTCTGCGTACTTGTTTGACAAAAATTAATTTTAATCAATATTGTAAATAATAAAAATGAACAAATATATATTTACAAAGAGCAACCCCTAGAGTTTTGTTACTTATTCCTCTCAGGGGAATCTCCCCGAAATGTTTAATCAATGTGACAATTTCAAGAGTAGCTTGCTTACCAATTAAGAAAGATATATTTGAATATGAATAATATATCTTTCGTGGGGTTATACATTGTTACCTTGTGTGCAAAAAGATGTGGTTACGCTATCAAACAAATATGAAACCACTTTCTAAATTTATTGTTATAACAGATTTACAACTCCGCACACCTACGCATTTAGTTAAAATAATAACACAGCAAACTAATATTGTCTCTATTTTATACATCGTGTTTCCGTGCCGTCTCTTTCACTCCATTCTTAACGTTTCATTTACTAAAGAATTTAACTATTGTATGTTCCGTTTTTTTTTTGTATTACTTGATTTTACATCGGAAATGAACTTATCTATTATGGTATTTGGTTGAGGTGTGGATTGTATCCTAGCTTTTGTGCTTTAAGAGTACAGATCTTCTTAGATTTTAATTACGTATGATGAGATAAGTGCATTTTGAATGGGTTTTATAAAATAATAACTGTAAATAATTATTTTGAATTCTTAGGTTTTCGCAATTGTTGCACATAGGGAATGAAACTATTTTTCCGGATTTTATATTTGCTTTTTTGAAGCAAACCAACGTTTCGGATCCTTTACAGGTCCCATGGTCACGAGTGACTACGGGGTGGCCACGGGTGACCATGGGCCCGAAACGTTGTTTGAGAAAACAAATATATTAATATATTATGTTGTTGAAATGTCATTTCCTAAATAATTATTTCAATAACATAATATGGTACTTAGTCAAACAATAAAAATAGTAAAAATACCAAATATAATGCATTAATTTCGTTGTAGACAACATATTTAGTGTATTACCACAAGCACACACAACTCTATACAACAATAAAGAAAGAAAAACAGAAAAAGTGAAATTACGTAAATTTACTTAAATTTATAAACAACTTGTCTATGCTACAACATGTCAAATAAGTCATAGTTCAGTACGGGTAATATAAATATACTTACAGTTTATTTAACCAATAATGTACACCAACGAACTAAATAAAACCAATAATGACAATAACAAAAAAATGTCAAAAACAAGTACATTTAAATTTAGGCTGGTTTCAGAGCAGTGCGGATTTATCTGCGGACGGTCCGCGCGGAACGCCGGAGCGGAGTAATACGTGTGACATAAGAACATCGTTTTACACTGACTCAGATTGGTCCGTGCGGAACAAGCTCTATGTGAACCCCGCACACAAGCCAACCGTGCGTTGATTTTAGGCGACTGTCTTCCGTCAATATCCGCATTAAATTAAATACCGATTCAGAGCAATGCGGATTCTACTCATGCGGATAGACTGCATGCGGACTGTCCGTACGGACCGTACACACAGCTGTGAAACCAACCTTAGACTTTAAATCTTTTTTTTAAGACATCAAGTGACGTATAAAGTCCGAATAGTCGTGCGCCTGACTTTTAATTGCAAAGATCTGAGGCGCACTGCCACTGCACCCGTCACACTGAAACATACGTTGACAAGTCCCATGTGCCCCAGTAATTTCACCAGCATCCTTACCCTTCCAAACCGAAACACAATAATGCTGACATTACTGCTTGGCTGCAGAAATAGGTAAGATGGCAGTACTTCCCTGGACGAACTCTTTCACACGGAGCTCTACTGCTACTAAAATCTAAAATTAAACTGCTGTTTCGTTTTTTTTCTTTCAACCGTGACATTGACAAAATCATCATTTCTCATAATGATGGAGCCATAAAAATAAAAAGTGAGTGAAACTGCTAAAAAAGTACATAAAGTATATGTACAAAAACACACACACATCCAGCACCTCTCAACATCTTTGCATCAGATCTAATAGGATATTCGAATTTTAACTCGATTTCGAGCGACAAGTGTAATCCTTATGAAGCTATTACTGCCCATGATTGAATTAAAGCTAAGGTAATCCCTGGAATGGCCGCGTATTATATCGCTTAAGTGTTTAACATGTTTAATGAAGCTTTGATCCATTTTTGATGTTTTTCATTTAAAATATAAGTGCGTTTGGTTCTTTGTCGTGAGGTAGACAGTTTACTGTTCGACGCCTTTTAGAACACTAACAACATGTGATGTCTTACTACCATGATTGTTTATTATATTCATTTATTTTTTGTGAAATTACTCCACTAGTTTGTTATAATTATTTATTAATACAAAGATCAAATACTAAGAAAAATTCCTTCCGTCTGTCAGGACTCCCAATATAAAAGATCTGTAACAAACACGTAGAAAGATTCGTAAGATCAGCTGACCCGATCTGTTGCTCAGTTGGTAGAGCGGTGGCCCTGGTTTGCCATACAGATGCAGATTCGAGTCCTGTTAGATCGGAGGAAGTTTTCTTTGTATTTATTTATTTATTATTATTATTATTAGGCACATCAACATCATATGTATTTGACAATCAACAAAAATTAGACATGAGGCTAGGACTGATACATATAACAATTACAGACATACACAACGTTCGCTACACACTGCTCTATATACAGGGTGGAAATTTGTAATGCCACCTGGAGGGAAAGTACTCTAAACACCGGAGATAGAAATTTTTACTTAAAGGAAACATTCCTTTATTTTTTAAAAGAAATAAAACTGCATTCATAGATTTTTGAAAATTTCTAGCAACACGCGGGAATCGAACCCGCTTTAATCTGAAAAAAATGCACCTGCACTTTTATTGCATCGATCGATAGGGTTAATTATAAGAATAAAATATCTCTCACAAAATTGGTTAATTAAATGGAAAAAAAAACCATGAAATCTTAACGTATTTTAATAAAACGAAAAAAATGGTAAACTAATGTTGCTCGAAATGAGCTCCATTTTCTTGGATACACAAATTTAATCTTTTAACCAATTCATTTTGAGTAACTTTTATTAACGTGTTGTGATGAATTGTATTACAAATCGTCTTCTGAACTCAGCCTTCAAAATGAATTCGTTAAAAGATTAGATTTGTCTACCCAGTGCAGTACACACATTACATTTAAGACTGGAATTCGATCTCGTTTAAATGACCGCCGTGAGCGCGTTTGCAGCGTTCATTTCTATGAAGCCAACTTCGACCACTCTTCCTCATACCGGACGAAATGTTATTGACTTAACTTGTTGGCATAAACCAACGACTAAACATAAACCCATGAAAAGTAATCAAACGGCGTTAGATCGCATGAGCGAGGTGGCCATACGACTGAATTGAACTCCATTCTTAAATGTAACTTGTGTCCTGCACCTGGAATGAATTTCAGCAAGATATCTCAATTATTCTGTTTTATTGAAATACAAAACTGTTATGTCCTTATTGAAAAATCCATATATATTCCTACCTACCTGTACCCCGAGTAATAAACGAGTCACCGCTGGAATTATGTAATTTTTTAATAATCACTAATATAAGAAGTAAACTTAAAAATCACTTTGTAAACAACTTAATCAATTGCGATATATTTGATTGTTTCTATGTATTTATCCAATTTCTGTATAATCTTTTTGGTTAATGATAGATTATTTATAAAAATTATTTGAATATTAGCAAAACTTTTCTATCTATCAGCTAATTGAACATATGTATTGTGTGGATGCAGTTTCGAACCTTAGTCGTTTAAAATATTATTATTACTATATTTATATATACGTATTACGTTTTAAAGGATAATTTTAAAAAATGTATTGCATGGAATTACACCACTTCTGCACTGATAGCCTCAATTATACTCATTTAGTTTCACAAAAAGCCTATATTTTAATTCAATATCCAAGATTTAAGTTTCTAAGTTATTCGAGATTTACGGAAACAAGCTGTATATTATTATTCAGAATAACTTTCCTGTAAAACGTCTCTTCAAGAACGTCTTAAGATTAACTGTAGTGAATTTATGTGCTGTAGAACCCTGTAAATCCCGGTAAAATTCGAGTACCTTTTCTGAGATCCAAGGTGCACGTAGCATTCTTCTTCTCTGAAATTCTTAAAGCTTTGAAAATTGCAATTGCAATATCGTACGGTTCACAATTTGAACTATGTTTCGTAGCATTTAATATGACTGCAGCCTCCTACGCCGCGTTATTGCTACGCCCACGTAGTACGGCGTAGTATAGTTGCCGAAAGGTAATACGTTCTATTCAACGTTCCGTAGGTGTAGAGTGGGAGTTTGAACTTTGAACTTTAAGTTATTGTAAATTTAGTAATTCGATGTAAAGTCAACATTCTTGACTTGTTAATGATTTATTAAACAATACATGTGTTGATGTTTCAAATTTTAGTAAATTTTTTTTATTTGTTTTGTTACAGGGGTTTCGGAAAACAAGGATTCCAGTGTCAAGGTGAGTATTCTTTCATATTTTGCTAGTCACTTATACCATAGATCAATTCTCTGGAGGACTGCTGCTAATCTCCATACTATACAGACGTAACTTCGGAAAAAGTCGAAATTCCGTCTTATCTCTAGGCGGCGCTGATCAATAACCTGGAAGTAGTTTATGTTATATAAAAGGCCGTGGATACCAATTAATTTATCTTTAGTATGAAATATTTGAAGTCAGCTTTTTTTCCTTGTAATTTAAATATAATCAAGAGTTAAAATTGTTTTCTGAACTTTGACAAATACGCGTGTCAAAAGATGGCATTGTGTGTTCAAAATTAATTTATAAATTAACGCTTCCTACTATAGGCAGATCGCGCTAATCCTAAACAAAATAAAAGAATAACCGGCACTGTCCATAAAAATCTTTGCAATAAGCGCCATCTAGTAGATTTGTTTGTAATCACTACAAATTAGCGGCCCTTCTCACATTCGGTGTTCTCAGCCTAATTACCGTTGTCATTGTTTTTTCTCGCTTAATATACTCAATGACATTGAAATATGAGCAACTTTAACCTTAATCAATATAATTATCTACGTAGCATTAGAATAGAAAGTAGTTTTCGTGTGATTAAGACAAGAATATTTTATGGAAACGGTAATTAGATTTAATTACCGTAGCCGTGGATACGGTAATTAGAAGGTTCAAACATTTTTAAGAAAAACCGACTAGTTCTGACACAGTTGAATTATTATTTGTATATTTTGCTACATTTAGTTTATTTCTACTGATAAACGTGCCATTCAGATTTTTTAAAATAAATTGAAAGTAGGTTTGTTAATATTTGGTTAGTGGTAATGATTCAAAATTACTCCAATTCTTTCTTATGATTAATCACGGCTGTTACATGAACAGTGTAATTATTTACATTTTGATTATTTCTGCCGGTACAAAACCTTAAAATTTTAAGAAACAATTATATATCGGTGTAATTCATCACAAAACGTGAAGAAAATTAAAATCAAAGTTATTTGTATGTTGCTAGTTGTTCTTTATAATTTTTGTTTTTATGTTTTCTTAAAAATGTTTGTACTTTCTAATTACCGTATACGGCTACGGTAATTAGATCTAATTACCATTTCCATAAAATATTTGTTTCTCAATAACCGAAAACTACTTTGTCTATTCTAATGCTATTTAAACATATTGATAGCTAAGCTTAAAGTTGTTCATATTTCAATGTTATTGGGTATATTAAGCGAGAAAAAATAATGGCTACGGTAATTAGGCTAAGAACATCGAATGTGAGAATGGCCGTTAGAGTTGCATTGATAAATTATAGCTAATCCATGTAAAACAAATTACAAAAATAGCTATTTGGTAGTCGTCGCGACATACGGTGTACCAGTACGTACTAAATATCTGTCTACGCTGTCTTGTATCGCGATTGCTAGTCCTGTTGAGTTAATAGCCGCGTACTGATGGAGCAAGCAGCCTCGCGAGACAAATACTCGGCCAGCTTTACCTGTCGCGGCAACCTCACTACGTTGGTTTTGCAGCAAGGCAGCCTCGACCGAAGCGGCAAGACAGCCTGGCCTGTAAAGATGGGAAAAGCAACATATTTTATTAAACGTTTAAACGTGGTAGTTTTTTAAAAAAAGCGTGCTTTATAGACGCTTTTTAGTTTGAAGCTTAGAAAATCGTTTAAGCGCATAGACTTTTATGTTGAAAAAGCTTGCAACGTTGTGTTGATGGCGAAACGCAAGAGAAGACCAATAAAGGTTTACATTGACGAAATAATTTGTCTAGGAAACATAGATGGTGGGAATTGAAGCTTAGGCACGTTGTAAAAAATGAAATTGTTGAATATAGATCTGACCAACGCTTACACTTAAAATAAAAAGCGTTCTTAAGTGCTTATTTTAAAAAGCAAATTTTTTTAAGGACTTAAACGCCCATCTCTGCTCGCGAGGCTGCTCGCTCAGTCAGTACGGGGCTAATGGTCCTTGCTTGTAACAATCAAATATGTAATAGAAAGGTCCGAGCATAATATGAATTGTGACCTTTATATAGTAAGTTTGGTGTCATACTCTGTAGGCACGCCATCCTATTTTTTTTATTATGATATTACCCACATTAGGCGTACATTATGCACATGTTTTTTTTGTGAATTTACTACTATCTGTGTAAAAGAAGAAAAACAATTACGCTGACGTTGCTACGAACAATTCTCTGTAGCCACGCCGCCATATTATTAATACTTGTAGACGTAATTTTAGGATTTTTTCTGAATTTAGCCAATGTACAAACGCTGTGTATTATGTACATCATGTACGTCAGACGTACATTACAGTATGTAATATCATAATTTAAAAAAATAGTGCAGCGTGACTGCAGAGCATGACTCATTTTCGTTGCACTCAAAGCGTCTCTATAAAAAATTCTCATGGCACATTTATAAAAAGACGTTTGAGTAGGCTGTATGACGGAGGATCGGGTGTCAACGACTAAAAAATAAGACCAGTCAACTTACAGAGTTACATTAACGGATTCGCTCTGGATCTTTTGGAGGGAAAAGTTTCGTTTTTATTTTGACTTTCAATTATTTTGTGAAATCTAGTTTAAAGTGGAATAGGATAGTGCTATTGTGCCTTAATCGAAGATTAAAACGCGAAATTATACGAATCTCGAACTAGAATACCCGTATCGGCCCGTTTTAAGGAATCCCGAGTCAATCCAAGCACGCCGCCTCAAATTGCCTATCCTCTTTGTGGCGGCCATATTTACAGAAACATAATTAAACTTCATGTTTAGGCTGATGGCTTTGCCAAAGCCTTAATAAATAAATAAAAAAAATAAAAAAAGTTACATTAACCAAAGTGTGAAGACGACCGCAGAAAAACAACTAGACTATAATAGAATAATTATATTTATATTATTATTTGGCGATAAGGTCGTTAGTTAATCCTTTTCTTTTGTCGGTTTCTGAACCTTGTTTTTGGCTTTAATAATTTACTTAATTATTACTAATGAGTGAGTAGATAAATCGACGAATACTCATCATAAAAAGTTCGTTTATTAATCCCGTAACATCTGCCTTGCTGAGTGATTCCAGGCAGCTCTTTACTTTTTTAAATCCCCAAATACGCTCTCGTCGTTTATCAAATTTCCTTTATAGGAGTGCACGTAACCTTAAACTTTGAAGGAAAAAAAGTTATTTACATAGGTTGATTCAGAGTTTAATGTCCTATGTTCTGACGTAAATAATTCATTTTTTGTCGAAATTATAAGTCACATCCATTAGTGTTGTGTACGTGCTAGTGATCACGATCTTTTTGTGTTTATTATATGACATTCTAAATGTTATTTTACCCCACAGTATGCAGTTTCGTGGTCCACAAGCGATGCCACGAGTACGTCACCTTCACGTGCCCCGGCGCAGACAAGGGAGCCGATTCCGACGTAAGTTTACAACTTGACATACATTTTTACTTCCCATCACACATTTTTCACAAAAGTGAACAAGTCTCAGGACACAATAAGGGGTTTTCATTGACACGAGTTTAGTTGGCCCGTTTCGAGACTAAAAACGGCCCTGTTTTATTTTAAATGTATGACAATCTCGGTGGCCCAGCTGTTACTGCTGTGGGCGCTAATAGAGGAGGTACAAATTCGATTCCTAACTAAATTTTGTCAATTGATTCTAGTTGGGTATCAGGGTAGGATACTTGTAAAAATAACAAATATTGTTTAAAAAAAATCTCAATTGATTATAAAAATTCACTTGCGGGAAACGAATGCGGACCGGGGCTTGTCACACGGCAGTCCAACGCATAGTTCGCGGCGGGGCAGCGGCTGGTGTGACACTCATGAGCAACCACGTTTAATTTTCTACTTAGATATTAATGAAATCACGATATCGCTTGCGGATAGTGTTCAAGAAAAAATTCTGCTTTTATTCGCGTTACGAAAACAACGCAAAAGAAATTTGCGTCGAATTCGTACTGAAACTCAATAAAAACACATTCAAGGGTTGTAAAATAATACAACGTGCAATACCGCTAAGGCCCCGCTCCCGGACCACGCCCCGCCGCCACAGCTGCCGCTGCCGCTCTTTATGGACGGTTGCATAGAACGCAATGGATGGCATACAGTTTTGCTCCCGCACTCGCCCCGCGTTCGCTGCGGACCCGGCCCGCGCCTGTTTGTCACCGGGACTTGACGCGGGCTCTACTCCGCGCTTACATCCAACGGAACGGATTCATTAAATACAACTTCCAAAACATGTGCAACAGTACACCGCCAAGTTTCGTTATATTAAACTTTCTTCACGAACATCGTTGTGACGTAATAACTGGGAGTACCAGCTAGCCGAGCAATAGTCTCGTAACAACCTCTACACCCCCACCTTTTTAAATTTCATACTTTGTTATTGAAATGCGATGTTTTAACGGTAAGTTAGTCGTTTAATAGTTATTAGTTGTTGTTTGACGCGAGTACTTATATTGAAACCTGAGCACACGAAGCTTCCTTCGTTTGTGTTATCGTTGTCAATTTAATGTCAACAATAATATAATAAAATATACCAACGGATTTATATATATATATATACTATATAAACTGCCTCTGTGGCCGAACGGCTACCATGCCGGACTGCCACGCGGAGGTCCCAGGTTCGATTCCCGGGCCGGGAGAAATATTTGTATGGCCTACAATTATTTCTCACGTGAGTTTGGGTGTAATTTGTGGTTGTCTATGTGTGTGTCCATGGCACCCGCGACACAGGGTTTCCCTAGTGCGGTCCTATGTTGAGTGTGTGCGTTATTTATTATTATTATTATTATTTATTATTATTATTATATAAATAGTGTACGACAAATCGCGTAGTTGAACGTGTCACTATGGTTTTTTTTTTCATCGAAAGATAAAGTTAGGTGCACCAGAGACTATTGTCAAGTTTGAATTTCAAAAACCTTTTCCGCCCTAGAAAACGCTAGAAGAGAAAGAAAGCCTTTCCGAGGCAGTGTGGTGAAATATATATTATATAAAATCGCTATTACTCTATCGTTATTACAATAGTGTTGTAACTCAAAATACGTGAAGTTCAAGAATAATGATTTGATTCTCTATACGTCAATAAAAACCTTGTTGTAAAAAAAATATCTACTTACCTGAGACACATTTTTTGTGAGCTAGTTCTGGACAAAACAGTCCTTACGCAAAAATATGAAATTATTTTTTTATTTATTTTTAAATACATTTGGCAAGTAGGAAGTTGTTCAGATGTCTGTAAGAAATTAACCTATGACATAAATTTTAACAATCTTTCACGGGAATTGAGTAATTTGTTTTTCATCAATTCTGAAAATATACCCTTTTTGAGTTAATACCTTATTATATTAACAGTGCTATATGTTTTACAGTCACATGGAAAAGTTGACCTGCAAATTTCTAAGCTAAGACTTGTATTAAACGAGCTAGTGGTCAATTGCGCCATAACCCCGCAGCTTTAACCGTCCTTTCCATTAGTAGCATGAATCGCAAGCAGTCTTAGCAAAAAAATCGGCCTATTTTTCTAACTCCAACCATTGTTATATGAGATATTCAAATAACAACAATAGATTCCCCTGATAAAAGATTAAGCGTGTTTTTGATATAACACAATACATCTTTCTGTCAATCGATAGAAAAGTTTCTTTTGGGAATTGCTGAAATACGCCTAACTCAACAGAACGTCGTTTGTTTTGTTTATAGGAAACAAAACTGTTGACTCATATAATGCAAACGGTTTCGAAAATTTAACGATGACCTTCTTTATTGGATTGAATTGATTCACTTTTATGTAGCCGTGTGTACACACGTCAATCAATTCAATACAAATTTAATTACGATTAATAGTGACGTCTCTAGCCAGGGCTGGTAGCTGTAGAGTTGCCTATAAGATGACGAAATACTTCCATTGATTTCTCATAGATGTCGTTAGGGCTGAAAAGTCGTTGAAATCCAAATACAAAGTTCCGACAACAAGCACATAGAAGAATTCATGAGGCATGGTTTGCCAGAAGACGTAGGTTCGAATCCGGCCGGATCGAAGGAATTTTCTAGTTTGTTATAATCTTTGTATTATAACAAACTAGTGCAGTAATTTCAATATCACAAAAAATGATTGAATATCAATTCAATACAAATTTAATTACATAAAAGTATAGCTATTACATAAAAAGGAACACGTGTACCTTACTTTAGGAAAGTGAAGATATTAATTAACCCTACATCGATGTACATTTACGAGACCTGTGTTTATGTGAAACTAAATCCAAGCAACTTTAATATAGTCAAAACTATATATCTAGTAACTAGTAACGCGAGGAATAAAACGGAAATACGGCCCAAACAAATTTGGAATTTTACGGCAGAACGATTTTCGTATTAGCATCCAAATAATTAAATAAATTGCCGGATGCTGTTAAAGAACTAAATTGCAGACAATTTAAAATGAAATTGCGTAATTTGTTACTTACTCAGTGCTATTACAATATTAATGATTTTTTTATTGATAACATAAAATGTAAAACTTAACTGTTGTATACTATATTTTTGACTTCTTATTTTCTGGTTAAATTCCAATTGTTGTAGTTTGTTTATGCTATTATAACTTTAATGCATGACACGTCTAAAGTGAAATAAGCATTGTGTAAAATATTCGCATTCCAAGTTTTGGTGAAATGTACGATCTAATATAATATATTATAAGACTTGCCCCGTAGCATGGTTACGCATGTTAGTCGCGACGCGCGCGATAAAATTGAAATAAGCGAGCGCTATTGGTTGTCTCAATCATATCTAATTTAGATGCTACGGGGGCTGCATTGTGAACTACATTTTTCAGCGAATAAACATCTTGTATTCTTGTAAAAATATACAAACACACGACTTGTGACCATGTTATTTTAAAAGGCTTTATATTTCAAGACAGTTGTTGCGGATTCGTTTCAAAACTGTTTTATTAAACGACTTCACAAAAGGAGGAGGTTCTCAAATCGCCTGTATTTTTTTTGTATGTTACGCGATTACTCCGGAGTCGTGCGGCTGATGGTAACCTACACGCCTGTCCATAACAGTTGCAGTGCCACTCAGTGCTTTAAATCACAACGATTGAGGGGCACTGCCACTGCACCTGTCACCCTTATATTATATATTGACACGTCTCATGTGCCTGTAATTTCATCAGCACCCGTACCCGTCACAACCGAAACGCAGTAATGCTCACATTACTGCTTGACGGCAGAAATAGGTAAGATGGTAGTACTCCCTGGACGAACTATTTGCCAGTGCCATCAAATCTTTGCACTTTAAATCTCTGAGTGGCGCTGCAATTGCTATGGACTCATTCATAAAAATCATATTTAAAAAAAGCGCGATACAAGATTGAAATCGATTTAAAAATAAAACATAACCTAAGTAATGCGTGGCTTACGCGTTATGTTGTTCTTAATAGATTTTGATTTATAGATATTTTAAGCATTTTGCTCTAGTGCGTTTGTATATTAATATATTTTTAAGCATTTCGGACTATACCAGAATATCAGCGAAGCCTCCGTGTTTGTTTTATTATTGATTTATTCTTTTTTTTTTAAACGGTGAAGGAAAATTCGTGATAAAACCCATTCACAGCCATTACAAAATGTCTGAAGTTCCCAACTCGCATTAGATGATTTTCTTTCATTGTATTGCACATCGACAAAGTAATTAGATTATTTTCAGGTTAGATGTCTTTAAATAATTTCATTAGCAATTTTTATTATTTAAATGTTTGACTATATTATCGTGAAATATTAAATAAAATTTCAGGTTATTACACTCGAATGTTAAGTAATACTTCATGATAATATTCTAGAATATTCAAATAATAAAAATTGCCGCCGAAGTTAGGTAAAGAGAACTAACGTTCTTTGTAACCATTTTTAAGGTCATTTAATTCCTACAGTGTAACGCAGGAACAAAAAATGCAGCACCATATAAAAGAGAATACCTATATCACACAAAGATATTTCAAAAAAACAAAACAAAAACAAAGAAAACACTTTACTTTTCGACGGCGTTGTATAACGAATTATGCAACGCCGTCGTCGTAATTAGCGTACTTTTCGACGGCGTTGTATAACGAATTATGCAACGCCGTCGTCGTAATTAGCGTCAATTCAACGTTAACTTGATCGCGGCGACGTTAATTAAAAGGTATCAGTGGACCTTAAATCACGTGTCGCCCACACATAATCAGTAAACGGCATTTTATTGGCTTTTTGTGTTTACTTCAATCTTTAATGATATTACCCAGAGTGATGATTCTTTAAGTGATATAAATCGACCCCCAGGGGTCTACTACAAGTTTGTAGTGGACCCCTGCGGGTCTTCTAGTTAGAAGGGGACTTTGTCACCGAAACAAAAATAGGGAGGACATG